TTAATGTTATTAATATTATTATCTTGCATTGTTATGGAAATTGTGATATAATTTTATTTTTAAACACTTTATTAAAAGTTATAAAAAGTGACTTAACATAATAATTGAAAATTAATAGAAATACAGGATCCTTTTATTTAGATATTTAAACACAAAACAATAAATGTAGTTTAATAAAATAAAAAATATATAATACAATTTAGTTATTCGTAAATTGTATTGAAACTTTATTGCAATTTATTGTGTAATAGATTTAAATTGCAGTTTACTTTCATAATAAGCTTTTAAAAACTTATTATTTGATACTAAAGTCTCACCACCTTTGTCAGCCCTGACCTGATCCAGATCATATTGAATTGGCGACTGCTTAAGTTCATTTAGTATATCTGAGCATGATGGTCTATCCGATGCCATACCAGATAACATACGGCGTCCAAATAAATCCTTTAATTCCGTGTACCTTGCTTCACTATAATAAATATTGAAATAAAATAAAAATCATCTAACTACATAAGGAATTTAAAAATTAACCTGCTAAGATTAATATTAAACAATTCAATTGCTATTAAACCAGCACTATAAATATCTGCCATGGTGTTATACTGACTACCCATCATAACCTCCGGTGCCCTATAATTTCTAGNTTAACCTGCTAAGATTAATATTAAACAATTCAATTGCTATTAAACCAGCACTATAAATATCTGCCATGGTGTTATACTGACTACCCATCATAACCTCCGGTGCCCTATAATTTCTAGCCCCGCGATCCTTAGTATTGGACTGTGAGGCTGATGATTGTATTTTAGCAAGGCCAAAATCACCGATTTTCAACCACTTGCTTCCCGCACATTTAACCAGGATATTTTGTGGTTTGAGATCCCGGTGTATAATAGGCGGGGTTAGGCTCTGTAAGTAGTTAACCCCCTCGAGTACCTCTTCGAGCAAAGTGAGCGTGATGAAATATTCAACCTGGCACAATTCAGCATCTTGTTTGCGTACAAATGTGTCACTTTTAAACTTATTGACTTTACGTAGGTTGTAAAATTCGTTATTCCAACCACATAGCTCCATTTGTATGTAAATCTTATCGGCAGGTATACCTTTCTCACACCACGAGTCAAAGTATTTGACCACGTTTATGTTGTCTATGGATTTTAGTATGTCTACTTCCCTGAATGTTTTGCCAGCTAAAAAAATTATTTTTAAAAATTCAATCTTATTAATAGAGTTTTCCAAATTTAATAAATATTAAATTTTAATTTTAATTTCCTTAATATTATAGTTTTAATTACAGTCATAAACATTATAAAATAAATATAATTAATTTATTAATTAAATAATCTATATTAATTTGTATAATAAAAATTATCAGATACCTTTTAGTGCAATCTCCTTAATAGCATAATGCTCGCCATCCTTTTTACTTTTAACCTGGTACACCTTACCACACCCACCTGATCCAATAAGTTTAATTTTAATAAAATCGCCACTAAACTTATTTTTAACCGGAATAATACTCAAATCCATATTAAAAGCATTTATTTTACAATAGTTTATAATATTTAATTCACTTTTTTTTAATTACATTAATATTGGAATTCATAGCAAATAATATAATAGTAAGAAATGTGGGAGTAATAGATAATTGCCATAGAAATACATGCAATAAAAATATTTCTTATAATCAGTCAATTGTGAAAAGATTTAGTAAACCGTAAATAAGATTAAAATTATTGTCTGAGATAAATATACCTATCTGTTTATTAAATAAATAATATAATAATTTAAACATTTACAAAATAATAAATATTTAGATAAACAAAAAATTAAATTTAATATTAGTTTTTGGAACACGTTTCCAAAAATTAAATAACATATTATATGCTAGATAATTTGAAAATATAGATATTAAATGACAGTTTGTTAGATTAAAAATTATTATTTAGGTTATATTTAATTTTAATACAAAAGCCTTATCAACATTAAACTTAACCGATCCAGATGATATTATATGAGCTATTCACTAATCCCATCTATAATAACTGAGCATGATAATTTCAATGCTGACATGCCTGATAACATAAGTCTGATTGAGATTTTTAATTCAGGGATAAACTATAATAAAAGTGCTTTTTAGTTACTCAAAATAGTACACTTTAATAAACAAATAATTTACACATTTGCAAAAAATGTATTATAAATTGTATTATTGTGTGATATAAATATTTATATACAATGACTGCCCAACAATTTTAATAACACATTACATGCTAAATTATTTTTGAAAATATATATTAACTGACAGTTTATTAAATAATTAAAAACAATTTAGTTTGAATATACCAATGTGATAACAAGCAATTATTTTACTGACCTGCCCATTACAAATTATCGACTAATTTATTTATTTATTTGTTTATTAATAGCTTAGTTGCTATTAAAGTACTGTACAGTCAAAAAATCTATTATATTACTAACATAAATGTTAATTATAGAGTAGCCAAATTAATCATTAATTATAAATATTGATAATGTATTATATTTGCCCAAATCTAATTTAATATTTTAATTTAATTAACTACTAAACTAATGATAATATATTGGTTTTATAAAAACTCAGAAACTTTTTCAAATATGAAATGTAATGTTAACCTTTAATTAAATGTCAAAATTTTAATATGTTAATATTAAATGATTATAACTAATATTTAATTGTTAAATTTAAGGTTTTATATACATTTTATTATTAACAATATCATCAAGGTCAGTTATAAATACAATAGAGATATGAGAAAAAATTAACTAGGTAAATAAGAATTATGTTATAAAAAGCAACGGATTTGTATGGACCCGGATAATGTTGTCGAGTGTGATGTCAAGACAATTGGTAAATGTTTTATGAATTAAATATGATATTACTTAATAAACCTTAAAAACATGTTTTGTTACAATAAAACATATTTTTGTAAAATGAAATGATTTCTAAACATAGTTATAAAAAATTAAAGTCCAAAATAAACTGTACAAGTTATTTTAATATTATATAACCTTAGACAAAATATGCAATATTTATTCAATGGTATAAGTAACTGACTATTGAGCATATTACATTTTAAAATATACCATTAAATATTTTAAAACATTTTAATTTTACCTTGCGCAAATTTAAAATCATTGAATACTGCTTGTCGGGGAATATCAAAATAATATTATTTGATGTGGTTAACTTTTAAATTATTATTTCTTTACAAAATAACAGTTTGAAGATATACAGTACAATTAAAACAATTTTTACTGTAATAATACTGTTACTAATAATAGTCATCAATACTACACCTAATTTGTGTGACGTAGTGGTCACTACACCCGCAACCGTTACCAATGTAGGACCTCCGGCAACTGGATCACAAGTAACCGGAAATCCTGGTCCCGGAGCTATTGCACCACTAGCACAGGGACAGGTAACTGATACAGCACTAGTGGCTGTCCAAGCCTCTGGACCTTTAAAAGCACATGGAGTTGCACCTGTACCTGCATTAGAAATTATTTTTGATTTAATATTTTTTGTTTGATAATATTTTAAATGATAATTAATAAATAAGGTATTTTATGTTGGATGTTTTAAATTTGGTTTTCAAATATTGGGCTTAATTTATAATAACATTAATTACTATAGTAACTTATTAAAAATTACTATAAAATAATTTCACACCATATGGATTTAATCAATTAATTAAAAATTTAAAAATTTCTCTTAAACATAATATTAATCAAACCATTTATGAATTAATATCATAAATCAAACAATGGCAGGTAGGCAATATTTTATATATAATTTCAATATTACATTAGCATTATTATGTGATTAGCATAAAATATTTTTATTAAGGACTGTGTAAATGATTTATTAATGATATTTTTAAAACAATTGTTTTTGGTTTATACAACAATTACCTTAAAATATTTGATGAATCTAACTAATCATAATATTTTCATAATTTATGTTTAGAATATATTTTCTAAAACTTGTACCAGTATCCTTAATTATGAATCCCCTTGATCAAAATGTTAAGTGGCATTTAATAAGATTAAAATTTTAATTTAATTAAAGGATTTTGGTATACATATATTTTACTATTAATAATAACATCATGGTCATTGATTAGCCCAATAGAGATATGTGATAAAATAAGCCAGGTAAATGAGGATGGTGTCATAAA